TCCTTGGCAAGCTATCTCCGATATAGAAAAATGGATATAGAAAAATGGAAATAAATAATAAACACAGAATCATTCTCCAAATAATTGTTCTCAACTGCCACTACCATTCATTATTCTTACTATTGTTATCACTGTTGTTATTGTTGTTGTTGTTATTATCGCCATTATTACTATTATTATTATTATATCGTTACTACTATACTATAATCAATACTCTAAAATCTATAAAAAGATAAATATTCATCTTTTCCAATAAATTATTTTGCTTCCTCCAAAAAATTTAAAATAAATAAATAATAAAACATTATCTAAAAATATTAAATTAATAATAATAATCAAAAATACATAATAACTCAATATCCACAAATCTTCATTTTGTCTTTTTCCGACTCTTCCAAATCATTATTGACTATCTCTTTACTTTGTCTATATTTTTAAGGCATAGTATGTTTTACAATTAATTAAAGAAGCCTCTATCATCGAGAGGATTTATTATATGCGTGTGTGTTTTATGTTGATTAATTGAATTTTTTAAGAATGTAAAAAGAATTGTTGCGCAGAATATATTAAATATGAAGGAGGAAAGGGAGAAGAATCACCATGATGAATCCACAAACAAGCAAGCACGTTGAAAGACTATAAATGAGTGAATTACTTAAAGGAATGTGAATATATAACAAGCTATTATGTTTGAATGAAGATCGAACGAGTGAATGAGTGAGTGAATTATTAGCAGTTTAAAAGGAATGGATTGATTGATACATGGCGAGTTCTTCAAAATAATGGGGATAAACGAATGACAAAACAATTGATCGTGAAATTTTGGTGGTTAAAAAAAGGGGGTTGAATATTTGCGCAACAAATAAATTAATGTTTGGAATACGTGATTTTATCTAAAATAGAAAAGAACGGGGTAAAACAATATACAATTAAATTTTTAAAAAATGATAATAATTAAAAAAAGTGCATGGGTTAAAATAAAATATTTATATTTTAGAAAAAAAGGGTTTAAATATTTTTATGAAGGAAGACAAAAAATTTTTTCAATTAAGATAATTATGTACATATATAAAGTAAACCCAAGCACGAATTTATAATAATGTCCATCCCATCAACCAAAAAAAATTAAAAACATTAATGATAAAAAATGATGATAAATTTTTGTTGATCAACAATCTATTATATGTAAATATAATACTGTTTTTCCCTGATTTAGGATTATATCCTCCATCTAGTACTAAAACGTGAAGTTGAATTGTTACGGGCAGGCTTACGAAGAAGTATGGATGCTGCATTATTTTTTTTTGTGCGCCATAATGTTAGACCGTTATTATTTTTGTTTAGTTGAGAGCTGTTTTTTTTAAGCTCTTCTTGTTGTAAATGTTCACTACTTGTTGTTGTTGAAGTTGGTCTTGGAGAAGCAGATCTAGGTAATGTGGGTAATGTAGGAACCCTTGCAAGAGAACTGAGTGGGATTGTCATAGACTTTCTTGTTGAGGCGCGTTTTTGTAATTTCTGTTGGGGATTTAATAAATTTGAATTTTTATTATCATCATCGTTGCCGTCGTCATTGTTGTTTCCATCTGGTGACGATAATCCAATCCCATTATTATTTGTATTTTCTTGTTGATTTGGATGTTTATATGGCTCAGTGCTAGGAGCAGTATTAGGTAATGCACAAAAAAGAAGACATACACGTTCTTGTTCAGTATTCCAATGTGGACAACATAAACGATATTCCAAAGGAATTTGATTGTCACTTTTCTCAAAAAATTTGCCTCTTTTAACAAAACTTTCGAAATAAGGCCCCCCCACAGAAACTGCATTTTTTTGCACTGGCAAGATAATCCTTGAGAGCGTCAGTAGTATCTTCCAAAATAGGAATTTGAAGTCTAACAATGGTACGCGCAGCAAGTTCCATAAGCGATGGGGGTGAATGCTTAAGTTCATGTACAAATTCAGTTTTCAATGGACATCCATCAGTACGGAGTTTACGTAGATATTGAAGACGGCCAAGTTCTGCAGGTAAAACTGTGATTTGATTATTACGAATGTCTAGATTGATCAAAGTTTTTAATTGACCTATTTCTGGTGGTAATTCTATTAATCTATTATCCTCTAGGTATAACTGTTCAAGTTTTTTTAGTGAGCCGATTGAAGCCGGTATTGAAGTCAATTGATTTCCTGACAAATTTATAACTTTCAATTTATCTAAAAATCCAATAGTGTCAGGAATTGATTTTAATTTATTTTTATGAAAATTAAGTGATACCAAACTTCTCATATATCCAATTTCAGCTGGTATTTCTGATAATTCATTACAACATCTATTTATTTATTAATAAAAAATATAATAACAATAATAATTATTATTGTTATTACAAATTAATAGTTGTTTTATTATAAATTGATAATTGTCTTATTATAATAATTACTTACATTTGTAAACAAGTAGTTGTGTATAGAAAGCAAATATTAGGACTTAATTTAACTAAACCCCAACAACAAAATGTAATGGAATATAAATCTTGTATTTCACTGAATAATATAGCATTAAATGAGTTATTAGGATCGCATTCTTCAGGCAGTAGTCCTTTAACTCCATGGCAACAAGAATTTGATTCATGATCATGTGGACAAAGCCAACAAGTAATCTCGTCATCTTGTTTTATATCGTTATCAATAGTAGATTCAGAAGAGATAGTATCGTTAGCCAAAGTATTTATAGAAGAAGTTTCTCCAGTCGGCGGTGGTGATATTATTGTGATGTCATTAGGTAAATTTTGTATATTATTGTTAAAGTCTTCGTTGAAAACTGATTCAGAATTAGTAGTTATGGATGAATGTACATTGTTACCTCTTATTATTGAAAGGCTAGTACTAGTTATATGTTGTGTTTGTTGATGTTTTTTCGACACATAAGCGATAGGTAAACGACCTTGTTCTTTTGTTATTTGTGCTCCCATGTTTAATTATTATTAAGCTTATCTCGTTACTTGTTAAAAATTTCTTTATTATTAATCTTGGGAGAAATGTTGAGTTGAATGAATGTCGAGATGAAAAAGGGAATAATATTCTTTTTTTAAAACAATATATGAATGTGTTGAAAAGATGAAAAAAAGGATTTTGTTTACTGAAATAAATAATATATGTATATATTCTTCTTTCGTAGAACTAATTATTTGACTTTAAATTAATATTATGATAAATTATAAACCAATAATTAATTTCAATAAAAAGTAAAGTTATTAACAAAGAAATAAGCCTAATAATATTATTATTATTTTAGAAACAAAAAAAAATAAAAAATTTTTAAAAATAAAATAAAAAATATATTCTGTATAATAAATAATATAAATATAAATAATTGTATGCTTGTTAGGAGCAAAGATGTTTCAGAGTTAAGTTTTATATATTATATATAGAGAATATATAATAGAAATATAAAAAGGAAGTTTTGAGGTTATTATTAAGTATTATATATAAATATGGAAAGGAAAGAAAAGTAAAAATATGGTAATAATAAATAACTATTATAATAATGAAAAGAAATTTTTTTTTTTGGATTTAATTTGCATTATTGTAAATGAAACCATTTATTTATTCGTACGTATATGTATTGTATTTGAAAAACGATTTTTAATAATTAAATTTGGTAAATTTGTATCACAAGTTTTTAATTACACAAAAATTAATTTCTAAAATAAAAAAATTACTATTATAACCATAATAAGGTGTTTTTGGTGCAAGTATGTGGCTCTTATTGTTTTCCGTAATATATTATAGGCCTCTGTCAATGACATCCACATAAATTTTCTTGTGGATCTGCAACATCATTTTGGATTCTATCTATAAGTGATATAATCTACTTGTACTCATTTCTATAACCCCATCACTTGAGCAATACCTACCTAGTTTGTGAAAGTTCATTCTTGGATCAAGAGAAATGTTATATTCTCTTCAACTGCTGAAAATTTAGGAGCTTGGTTAATTTCAAATGGTACAAGAATGCATATGGAATTTGTGGTATATTTTTTCTGATGTTTCCTCATTTGATCCAATACCATTGAGGAATGGAAATTTGTATCTTTTTCACTCCTATTCTCTTGACAGAATGAATGGCAATTGATTATATTTTGTCTTTTTTAGATCTAAATTTTAATTTAAAATTTTATTTTTTGCTACAATATTTGAATTATAATTATTCAATAGGTCAATCATTGCTGCTTCTCTAATACTATAAGGAGTATCAAAAATCCATTGTCTAAATTTTCACATAAATATTATTTTTTTTATACCAATATTAATTGCTACTAAACATTTTAGAAAGCAGTGCTGATCTATTTTAATATGGCCAAGTTATGATGAGTTTAAGATAAAGATGGCCCTGCAACTAGGAAGTTGCAACCAAAAAAATGTTGACATCTAATGCTGCAACTGCTGTAAGTTTACAATCGCTGCAACTGTCTGCAACCATATGTAATTGCCTGCAACCTCTAGTTGATCAGCTACTTCAATCACTATAAAACTAAATTTGTTTTTATCAAAAAAATTTTTTAATTAATGATTTTATTTAAAAACAATAAATCCCATTTTGCAGTTATGTGATTCCATTTTTGATACTAAATCATCATAACTATAGTTGCAGACAGTTGCAGAGGTTGCACAGTTTCAGGGGTTGAAGACAGTTTCAGGGGTTGCAGAGGTTGCAGAAAATGTGAAAACAGTTACAGACACTAACTTTAGTTTAAGAATAAATTAGAAGAATGGTTAAATATCAAACATCCATATCAAATATCTACCATTAGTTGAATAAATTCATTACAGGATTGCATCATAGTAAAAAAAATTTTTAGATGTTTCAGCTATATAGTAAAATTAAATTAAATTATTCATTTTTAGTTGCTACAAAAAATGAATGTTTGCCATGCTATTTTTAAGATCTTTAATAATTGCCAACCTCAAATAAACAAACAACTGCAATTGATATTTCTCAATAGAAAAATTCTGAAGAGTTAGATGAGTGTTTCAAAACATTATATGATGTTGCTAATGATGTTGACTATATAGATGCTATTGCAAGGATTTACAATGAAGAACAATTACCTTCAAATATATTTCCTGATATTAAATGTTTACATAAAAAAAGAATTTATTTAATTTTGATAAAAATCAAAATCTATTAAATGGCTTTTTTTTAAAGTACTTTTCTTATTACTAACTGGGTTTAAAAATGTTTGAATTAATATAAATTGGATGAATGAACCAAAAGGTGTGATCTATTCAGACTCTTAAACTCTTGTCTGCAATGCTTCTCAAACCAATGTGAAACACTGGCACTGACCCTATATATAAATATTTAGGCACCACTACAATGTATTGAGCTTTGTAGAGATTAGCCAAAAACCATCATTGCCTTTTACTCAAACTAAAGTTAATAGTGTGAGTGTGCAATCCAAGTTTAGTTTATTAATGTGATTCATATTTAAAAGGTAATCCACTAGCTCTCTAGTGACTTTAATTATGTTGGTTCTGGCCTTTGCCCCAAGATAATTAGAGATTTTCCCACTATATTATTACTGGCCTTTGCCTAATATAATGACCTTTTTATATTGTTCTGGCCACTGCCCAATATAACCTAGGCTTTCCTCTTATATATATATTGTTCTGGCCTTATATAATTCTCTTTATTATACACACAGATAGCTATTGAACACTGAATAATTACAAACCTATATACAAGTATGCTACTTGAGGCATCCCTACAAGCAAGGCTCTGAATGAATTGAATTGAATTTTAGAGTTCTGTAGTCAATTTGATTTGATTCGCGACTCAAATCAAATCAAATCAAATCAAACCAGATTCCTAAATTTTTCTTAATATATTAAATATAGTGAATCTCAATGTAGTGTACCTCAATTTAATGAATAATAACAGATTGAGGTTTAATAATAATAATAATAATAATATAATAAAATTCTTCACAATATAACGGATTTCTTGATATAGTCACAATGGGGTCTGGGACACTTTACCAACACCCACTTTACCAACACCCACTTTACCAACAAGACACTTTACCAACAGGACATTTACTGACAAGACACTTTACCAACAGGACACTTTACCAACAGGACATTTACTGACAAGACACTTTACCAACAGGACACTTTACTGACAATCTAAGTAAAGTCAAACTTGACATAGAAATGGTCTTGCGAGGAACACCACAACTCCCACAGAAACCACAAGATTGTGATCATGAAATACAGATTCAAACAGTATTAAATGACCGTAATATTAGATCAACTATAAAGTTTCTTTGGGCATTGCCTATTTCATTTTAAAATTTTTTTGTTATTTTTTTAAAAAAATTTTTTTTTGTGTACATATAAAAATAATAATAATTAATGTGCCACAAAAGTTTTTTGTAAATGATTGATAACATGAATATGCAAATTTTTATCAATTTCATCAGACAAAAAAAATATATTACACATGTATCTATATTTTATTTTTATGAACTTGTTTTTGATGCAAAGTAAGGATAATAAGTGGTGTTATTAGTTAATTAATGGTTGATTTAACTTGTTGTAAAAAACCAAATTTTTAGCTAGTTATCCAGGTCTTCACACAGTCCTTGGCAAATTGTTAACACAATACTTGTTGGTAAAGTGTCCTGTTGGTAAAGTGTCCAGGTCTGTCTTAATTAACCAACTCAGATTGCATGCTTGCAATATGCATAATCTCCAGGACTTTAAGCTACAAACTAATATGATTTTTTTTTATGGTTATTATTATGTGTTAGAACAATTATTAAAAAATTCAAGTTCAAAAAAAATTAGCTTTACAAAAGATTGGCAATAGTATTCCATATCATTAATAAAGTAACTGATAAGATTTTAAATGAACCTAATCTTATTTAATTATCTTATGTATTTGTTGAGTGACCCAATTTTTTGTCAGGCCAATTTTTTTCTTAACACACTATATATACCAAATTAAATATTATTTTTTATACAGCTAATGAAGACTTTGTAACAACATCCTATAAAAAATGCAAAGAGATTTACTTTTATCTATTTATTATTTTATTACCTTACAAAACATCTATCTACTATAATCTGTTATCAGATCCACTTGCTTCAACTATTATTTATATGTTGGTGTCTTTAAGAACAAAATGTACAATTCTTTTTAGTGGTTTGATTTATTTGATTTGTTAAAATTATAAAGATCTTGTATATACTAACAAAAAAATTTGTTTTTATTCATTCATGAAATTAATTAATTAACCTCTACTAAGCTTACTCATCCTTTCTCATTCTCACAAAAAAGAGAGAATATATATAAAATTATTATAATATGCCACCATAATTATTATCATGAGATGCTCCAATAGACACTGATCTATTATTCTGCTTTTTATTTATGTTTTTCCCTAACAATGAAGTCTTTTCATCTTCATTACCATTATTAACATTCTCTTCTTCTTTGCCTCCTCCTGGTAACATTTCATGAAACATCACTACACCTTTTGATGAACTTGGACTGCTTGAATATGCATTATTGTTGTTGTTGTTGTTGTTGTTGTTAATATTATTATTAATGGTATTATTATTATTATTACTAATGGTATTATTATCAATATTGTTGTTATTATTATTAATTATGTAATTATTATTATTGGTTTCATTATATTTTGATGAAAATGTGTCTTCTCCTTCATATAATTCTGTTAATCCTTCAAAATCATCATCCATTAACAATTTTCTATTTTCATCTGCTAATAATCTTTCTTCTGGAGCTGTACTTTTTCTCCATGACAATATCAAAACTCCACATAACAAAATACAAATGCCGACTACCACTAAAAATAACTGCCACCAGTGTAGACAACTCCATTGATCATAGTAAACAAGTCCATTGAATATGGTTGACAAATTATAAGAACAAAATGACAGTGGTATAAGAATAACTGTGTCACATAATCTTAATCCTTTATTAAGATAATAAAGCTAAGAGAATATTTTGGAGAAAGAACAAAAAAAAATTAATATATCTTAAATCAATTTTTTTTAAAAAAATCCAGTTGATTTACTTTATTATATATTACCTGTAATAAAGATGTAATAACCAATATTATTACAATAACCCAACTTAGTAATTGGTTGAATTGATTGTCTTGATAAATTATGGTCAACACTAATAATTCTATACCACTTTTTGCAAATAATAAGCTTTGGCTTGATATCATTCCACCAACACACCCATATGATATTCCCAGATGGGTTTGAAATTTTTTCATTGACCATCCAAAAATTGGATCTTGTTCATTTCTTAATATTTTATCCAATATATATTCTCCATATTTATTCAGTGATAAAAGTATAATCACCACAAATTCAACAATTGAAAAATATACAATAAATGCTGGTCTTTTATATAGTTCTATCAAATCTTCTAAGGAATGTGTTGAGTCATTAACGACCCCAAATAATGCAATCATCACTGCACCAATAAGAATAAACAATGTTCCTATAATAATAAAAAATATTATTATTAAGATGATGAATTAATTTTTATGTTCTTTTCATAAAATAATACTAACCTATTAAAGACTGTTTAGTAAACACATCACCTAGTATTAATTTTGCAAAAAATGCATTAAAAACAAGAGTAACTGCTCCTAAAGGCGCCAGTATAATTATAGGAAGATATCCAATTGAAAACACACTTCCAATAATATTTGAAATTATATATGTACCAAAACCTAAATGCCACAAGGGTCTTCTACATGCAGATCTTCTTAACTCTCTTGAAGTGCTTTCGTTTAAGACATGAGATTTTCTCTGTATGGTTAAACCAAGAGATTGTATAAACGACGTTGATATTGCTATAATAACAGCAACAACAAAATTAACATGTGGAGTTTTACTAGGATCTTCTATCCCAGTTGAACAATTTGGCATTTTTTTATAATTATAAAATGTTAATTTAAATAAATTACGTTAAATTTTTCAATTAAAGTAATTTTTACAACAAAATATAAATATTTTTTTAAGAAAAATCATGTTAATTTTTTAAAATAAAGAGATGATTGAAAGTAGATCTAATTTAATTTAAAAAGAGATAATTGAAGGTAGATCGTAATTTTTTTTAAACGTTTTTGACCCATTATAATCCTCGATCTTAAAATGTGCGACAACTAATGTTTCTATTATTATTCCTTCTGAAATCTGGCCTTCTTCATCCCAAAAATATTTGAAGGATGTTCAAGGCAACGTTAAAAAATCGCGATCCTACATCAGTAAGTCTTTTGCGCAAAACTTATTGTGAAGAATTTTCTGAAAACTATAAAAAAAAATAAATTTGCTTCGCTCAAAAGTAACTTATGCTTCAGAAGGTTCTTACTAAATGATAGAAATTTATTAAGTAAATTAACTTATGCGACCTTTATTGGTTTCTTTCTTATTTACATAAAATATGACTCTTAGACTCAAATGTCTAGAAATAAAGTTCGCAATTATTAGTGTAGTTATTATTATTATTATGCGATGGAATTTGGAATCTGGATTCATGTTCCGGTGCCAGTTTTTTTCATTTGAATACAAGGCTACACTGGAATTCAGCTAATAATAAACTAAATTCTTACACGTTTAATTGATCTAACAGAAGTAAAAGTTTCTGAAAAAAAATAACAATTTCAATATTATCTTCAATATTAGTGAAAAGCAAGAGATATTAAAATTTTCAATTAGGATAAATAAGCAACCAACTGTCCTCCCTACTTGATCACATGAACTGTAGGTTCCCTTACAATCATTTCCATTTGCTGATAATTTATTATGTAGGACACGTGAAGAGGACGGGGGACGAGCAGATGTGGCTTGAACCCGTCCCCCGTCCTTTTCAAGTTTGGCCCATTAATACAGTCAGGGTTCTTTCCAAATTTAGGTATAGAAATTTACGCCTCTTTGTCGATCAATTCATATATTTTTCATATGATACAAACGAGTTAACGTGATACTTTGTGCTTTTTGAAAAA